TGAAGAAACTAAGCTTCCACTCAATTTTCTCTTGATTAAAGAAGATAGAGAAAAAGTTTATTTAACCTTTCTATGTAGAATTAAATTCCCTTTAATATTCGTTTCAAAAGTTTTGCAAAGCCTTTAGAAATATGGAATCTACAAAAACCCACAAACTATAAGAGTGAACCGTCATTATCCTCGGACCGATTGAACCCAAAATTTAGTCGAATCCTTACACGAGTATACAGATCTTCAATACAAAGTTTCGTTGAAATCCGTTCAGCCGTTCGGGCGTAATCACATTAAAAACGATGCGCACATATGTACAGTTCTCGAGCGAGAATAATGCACCTGTCGATTCCTTTTGCAATTTTTGTTACCCCTACCAAAATTTGATACCGAAGGGCCATTTCCTCCAATTTCCAACCAAAAAATTACTTCTTTACAGAGTTTTATTCCGACTTTTTCGCGTCCAGCCTTCGATTTCACAAAACAATAGTTTCCTTCCTCGCAGGTCGTGGAGCAAAAAACATATTCTCCGCGGCGAGTTTTAGCATCGATCGAAGTCGCGCAGTTCGTACCTAATCGTTTCGTTCCCCGTGAGGACTTAAACGAGTGAAAAGGTTCTCGAACCGCCGGGGGTGGCGCGCATCGCCCTCTCCCTTCCCTCCCGCCCTCCGCCACCCCTCCCGAGCGTGAAAAACTTCTAAATCCAGCGGGAAGAAAGCCCGTCGTGGAAACGAAAGCGAACCGAGAGGGAAGATTGATTACCCACGGACTGGGACGCGTGGGACAAGGACAGCGCGATCGGAGGAACCGCGCAATGAAGAAGGACGCAGCGAGAAGGACGAGAGGGGAAGGTGGAAGAAGGATGAACGAAGGAAGACGCGGAGCGAGGGAGGGAGCTGGAAAAATATAACCTGTTGGACCGCAAAAGAGGGAGAGAGGAGCGCAGGCGCGATAGTGACAGACGATTCAGTGAACGGACGGAGGAAAAGGAAAGAAAGTAGGAGAGAACGAGGACGGAGATAGTCGGAGGCAGAGAGGGACATCCCCGTTGGTTCGGGATAGAGGAGGGCGCCACGAGCGCAACAAGGACGGAGGAGGACACCGGGAGGAGGGAGAAGGACGCGGACGTCCCGAACCTGCCTTAATTCCAACTTGACATTCGCGGTTCAATTCTGATCGGATCGATCTAACTAGCGCCGCAGCGGACAAACCGGCCACCGGTATTTACTGTTTCTCTATCGCCATCTTTTGTTCTCCCACGCGCGCGAAATTCGGTCGTGTTTATCGAATCTGATCCAAGTTTGAACAATCGGAGTACTTTCTTGACCTCTATTCGATACACTGTTGTTTTTTGTGTATCGTGAAAGTGTGTCGATGTTGTTACAGACTTCTAGGCTGCGGATTTTATGCATTTATTAGACAATTTAATGTAAGAAATATATTACTTATACACTCACGAAATATTAATATCGTTACATTAATTAATAGAATATATTTTACCTATAAATTATGTACATTTCTTGTGTTTTTCATATTAGTGTACACCATAACATCCGCAGTCCAGTTATAACTAAGTAAAAGTAGTTTTTCATGAAAAATTTCATTTTTCTGTTTATAAACACTTTTTAGGAAACCCCATAGATAATGATTATCAATTTAAAAACATTTATTACGTTTTGTTTCCAACATTACTCCAAAACATTCCACGAGATGAAACTTAACCGGACTTGATTAAAAATAAATCGAGATAAGAATTATCATCTAACTATTCGCAACCCTCAATTTGTCCCCAATTTGTCCAATTTTATTTGAATAAAATAAATTCAGTTCCGTTATTGATAAAAAGGGACAGCGGAATTTTCGAATCGATCGTTGTCCCGCCGTCAAAGAGTAACGAGATGTTATATGGCATTCGGAGTCAAATGGAAACAGTATCGCAGGGATTAATTTATGTAACTGACCGATCGATGAGTTAATGAAGTGCAGCAGGTTGAATTTCCAGGGGCCTGCGTAGCGATCAGTTTCGACAAATTTTATTTGATTCCTGTTCGCCAGCGCGAACTGAAGTACTTTCGTGTAAAATGATTCTTTTATACGTAAATTCTACCACGGTTGATTATTATATTATTTTGTTATATTATATAACAAAAATTTTCTTCTAGAAAAATTCTTTATCAAAAGATAACGACGAAAAAGTTATTTTACCTCCGTTCAATTTCTAATTTTCGATTCAATATTCCATTGCAAAAAAAAATCAAATTTGGACATTGAGGGAGTATCATTACCGTAGAGAAATACAAACGATAAATGATACGTCCCGTTGGAATTCGATTGATTAAAAACGGACCGATTAAATTGCAGGTATTTTATTTTTAATTTAAAAAAAAAAAAATGACAAACCCAAGGGCGATCACAGCCGAAAATCGGAAACAAATAAACCGAATAATAAATTCCAGATGAAAAAAAAATTGTTTGGAAAAACGGGATTTCCAATGGTCGTTACGTTTCGATTACGCGTGTCCTCGTTTCTATGAATTTTTCTCTCGAAACAATTCCCCCGTAGCCCGCGATCAAAACATATGCAATTAATCGCAGATTTTAACGACGTTCCGAACCGTCACCCTACCGGCGCGGCCGCCCCCAAAATTACATTTCCACGTCAATTAGTCTCAACGCGAGTAATTAGAATACATATATCCACGGGGCGAATCGAATGTATGCAAATATAATAACAAAATTAGGTACGGTCGCAATCGACACACTTTTAACGCGTGTGTAACTTGAATCGCCCCAAATGCTAATGAAAAAACAACGAGCACGAATGTGGATCAATTATTATGTGCGTAATTCAAACATTACTTGCTTGCCTCCCGTTACTTTATTTATCGGGCAAAAAATAAATATGTTTATTCCCCTTTCGCACTAAATTCAGACGGGAATAATATATTTTTTGCTGGGATTAACGGTGAAGTGTTATTACGGCAGTGACGTAATCGATAATCAGAGGAAAAATATTGCGTAGAATTAAAAATATAATTAAAAATAAAATTATTAAAGTTAATATTATATAATTATAGTTTAGTATTTCTATTAAAACCGTTGATATTTATGTTAAATATTGGTTTTAAAAAAACGTGGAGATGTGTTATGGAGGATTTTCGATGAAGCACGTGCTCGACCATGCTCCCTGGAAACGCGATCCGCGGATTATCTTTCGCGAAAGATATACAGGCCTAATCTGACTGCAAAAAAGAAAAAGTCCAGCGATAAGTCCGTGCCGACAAGTTCGTCATCGAACATCGTCAATTTCCACGATCTAATCAGCGGCTAGTTTTCAAGAAAACAAACTTTCATAAACGTTTATATAACTTTCTAAATGGAAAAGAAAAAGAAGACTACATTCGTGTCCACAAGACGAGGATTCGAATCATTCTGAATCGAGACAGTTAATAATATTCCATTAAGCGTTCTCATATCTCAGCAATAATTGAGTATTTCTACTTAAATTTCAAATCTGATTTACAATATTGCCACTCTTAAATATTACAGACAAGATCATTTAAAATCGACTTTTGAATTAACGCTAGATTAGCGCGTAAATACTACTATAATAAACACCTCTCAATTAAAATCTAGCAGACTTGATTTGATCCCCGGATCGATGGTGGCTGTTACTTTTTAAAAATGAAGCAGATAACACGCGCGAATCTGGTAGTTTGAAAAACAAAAATCAGGAATAACGACGCAGCCGGTGGTTAATGAGTCAATGCGCGTTAAGTGTCGCCCTGGCAACTTTTCCGCGTGTCCCCGGGACAAAATTCGCGCAACTCTTTCAATTAAAACTTTCGCGCGCGGTTCATCTTCCCCTCCGCCCTGAAAACGCTCGCAGAGGTCGGGGAGGGGGAGAAAAAATATTAGAGTGCGACGGAATAATGAGTTCCGCGGTACGAGTGGCTCGCGGGCGAAAAAAAACTCGACTCCAATCGGATTTTCCCGTCCGTTGTGAAAATTACTCGCCCTTCGGTGCTCTGTTTATCGCGTCACGGTTTACGATCGCGCTCCTCGGCGTGCCTGCCAGGATTTCACGCACTTTGTTTGGGGGAAAACAAAACGACAACCTTGAAACGAGAACGAATATGTACCGATGATAATTGAATCGCGTCTCAAAATTTATACAGTAATTAATCAGCAATGGGTATATACCTTCTTGTGATTTTTCTTTTTAACAAATGTTTAATATTTGTTTGATAATTGCATAATCCAAAAATATGGTCTAATTTTGGGTAGATTTTGTAAAGACGAAAAATAAAAATGAAGAAAAATGGGTTGAACATGGATATGATACATATTTTGTACATTTCGTTTTTGGAGTAATGAACTGAGTATGACTCCAAAAATGTTTCACATGAATAATGTACTTTTGGAGTAATGTACTGAGTACGACTCCAAAAATGTTTTATATGAATAATGCAATTTTGGAATAATATACCGAGTGTGACTCAAAAAATTTGTTACATGAATAATATAATTTTGGAGTAATGTACCGAGTGTGACTCAAAAATGTTTCACATGAATAATGTAATTTTGGAGTAATGTACTGAGTACGACTCCAAAAATGTGTTACACGTATATCATAGTTTTAGACGTCCATATGTGCATGCATGCTATTAATTACATAATTCTGAATTATTTTTCTATAAACGATCTATAATTATATGAATTGGCTGTGGATTCGTCAAATGCTACCGGATGGTTTAGTCAGCATCGAAAACGGAGTAATCGTCGCAATTAAAATAATTACACCTCGGGTGCTTTTCGTACAGGCTTTTGAATTTTCTTCTGACTTTATTTAACGAGTGCGAACCGAATGAAAAGGACTACGCACGGCTCGGTGTTAAACTCTGACACACGGTAAATTTTGTACCATGGCATCGACGTCTGATTTACGGGACCCTCGGCGCGGAAAAAGTGCGATCACGTGGTGATACGGTGGCAATCGGTCGACTCACCTTGTGGTGCTGCATGATGGCAGTGGCCTTTCGCTTGGCGGACATATTCAGTCCCGACGCGCGTGTCTTTCTTCTCCTCGTGGAGCGGCAATCGTATCTCTGTCTCTTTCCTCCTCCGTCTCTGTCTCTCTCGTTGGGGGTTTCCCTTGCTGGCGCGCCACCCGCACTCCCGAAACTGTCGTCGATCGCGAAAGAGTCCTATTATATCGTACTACGATTCTATTATTGTTCCGTCCTCGTTTTCTCGTCGCGGTTCTCGTTCCTCACACCACGTTATGATAACGCGAACGGGAGAGAGCAAGAGACGTCTCGAATTCGTCTCGATAGCACGTTTCACCCACGAACTTTCTCAGAGTTCTCAGTTCTAGTCCTCTCTCTGTCCGATCGCCGTGCTCCGTCTCGTTCTGGCTTCGACGCGTACACACAACGCGCACTCTATCCTTGTCTGGCGCACCGCCCGCGAACTTTAAGCTCGCGCACAACAACACCACGCAGCAGCGCCGCGAACCGCCGCGATAAAATTCCCGCAGTCCCCGCAGGTGTCGACGTTAGACTCGCACGGCTCCAAACTGCCCGTAAAAAACTGTCCCGGTACACCACGGAATATCTCTGTTCTCTACACAGTCCATCCAGTTGGAGCAACACTGGGATCGCGATCAGCTGGCCGATAGAAACGCTCGAGCATCACACTGCTCCGAAACGGTTCCGCGGAAAAAAACTGTTTTTGACTAAGGACGATCTCGATTCCCAGAGAGGATACGTCACACACTCACACGAGGGATTCCCCGTGCACACCGGCCGCAGAAGTAAACAAGAGAAGTCCGTGCTCCGTTTCGCAACGGTCGGGTTTCCTCGTGTGTATGTCGCGTGTCCGCGCACTCCGGGGATTTTTTCGGAGCCTAGATCACGATCGTTAACGTAAATAATCGACGATCAGTGCACGCCGAGGAAACATGGAAACAACGCGACGTTCCCCGTATCTACTGCGGGAGTTGAAAAAGAGCGCCACGCTCGTAAACGAGATCATGAAACGTCCTCACATCACGAGCGCTCACGGCAAACTGGCGACTGGCGACGCGGTGGCGACCCCCCTCCCCACGGCCACCTCGCCCTTTCCACTACTCTCCTCACCGCCTCCGCGCCGCTCCCCTGTAGCACTCGACTCCCCCACGTCTCCTCACCCTAACCACGCCAACCTCACTCCACGGCTCTCCCGTACCTCGCTCTCCCCCTATTCTCTCTCGCTCACACTCTCACTCTCTCTCTCGCTACGCCAGTTCCCCACTCTCCCCCCTTCCTCCGACCCTCGATCCCTAACACAGCGTCTCTGTCTCTCCTTCACGCCGCGCCCTGCTATGACCCGCGCCGCTCTCGCTCCCCAACGGTCCTCCTCGAACACGTCAACCCTCTCTCCCTCGCACCCTTGTTCCGTACATCTCGCTCCGACTCCACCGGTTATACCGCTCCCTCCCCCCCCCCACCGTCCCCCCCTGTTTTTCTTTCTGCTGTTCCCCCCGCCCCCGCCCCGTTCCCTCCTCGCCCCCCCCCCCCCCCCCCCCGGCCTCCACGGAGGCGACAGCGGAGGCGGTAAGGTAGGGTCTGTCACCATCAGAACACAGAAGAGGCCGCCGGACGGGTAACTCCAAGGGAAAGCAGGGATTGAAAGGGGCGCAAGGGGCCGCACACGGGCATCCATAGGGCTTTCGGTGTGACGAGGGGCGGAGGGAGGGGGAAGGGAGTAGTACCTTTGGCTGGGAGAGACGGGTCGTGGGGGGACAGCGGGAGCAGCGAGGGGGCAAGGGACGCGGGTACTCATCGGCCGAAGGGGCTTCTACGGGTGTGTTAGGCTTGTGCTTAGGAGGGTATGTGTACCGCTCGTCTCTCTGCACGGACACGGCCGCGTTCGTGTGTGATACGTGGACGTACACCGGGATCCGTGGTCTCTGTTGCTTGCCATCTATCTGTACGCCCATCTTTGTCCCCTGCTCTCTCCCTGGCACACTGGTGTGTGCGATATCGATGCGTTCTGCTCGTGTACAACGCGGATCGCACACGCGTCCCGATGATGACGAGTCATTCGACCAGCGGACTTCGAATACGACGAGTCTTTAATGGTCAGTCTTTGGCGTTATTAGCTGGAGGTAACGGCGACTGACTCGACCACCTGCGGGCTCGATAAGGGAGGACACCGATATGGGTGTCCAGGTTAGCCTCGACTTTGGCAACGCCGCGAGAGTGAACTGAGGGTGAAGAAGCTCACAATGGAGACTTTGTGGGTTCTTGGTAAAGGGGGGCTGGCTATCTGCGCACCAAAGGAAGATACGGTTCCTAGGAGCGGACTTATGAGAAATCAACCAAGGGATGTGATAGCAATGTGGGAAGTTTCGGGTCTTTTTCAGCCCATGGCACAAATGAATCATTGGATGATGGATGGCTTTAACGCGTCACAGTCAATGGCCAACATGCGGACCACAACACAATACCATATGATAGGGCTCTGAGAGGCCAGACAGTGACCGCGTTTAGATTATCTTATCACTCAAGCTGAGATCAATAGTGATTACTCTAAATATTCTAGAGAGAGATGAGGGAGGGAATCACGTACTAACCTCTGATGTCATTCTTAAGCTTTCAAAGCAGCAATCACGTACCCTGATTAAAACACTGTAATTCTATAGTGAACCATCATAAGACGCACTTCGCGAAGTATTCGAAATTAGAATACTCGGAATTTATTCCTGATTGGTTTAGAAGCTTAGAAAAACAATTGATGTCGAAGTCTAAAGGGTCTTCTGTCTTCAATTGCTCCAACTGAAGTTAAATTTGATTAGCTGGGAAATCAGATCCCGCCCAGCTTATATTTAGCGAGTCGCACTCGAATCGATTTTGATCCATTTTCAGCACCATCGACCGACATTCCGCGCGCATTTCCAGAAATTTCCAGCGAGAAGGGAGGGTTCGTCGGCGTACTCGCGTTTCGCTGGCGGACGGAACGAAGGCAGTCGAATTAATGCCCGTCTCTTCATCGGTAATCAGATTAAACGGTGTCTGCGGTTTTTAAACGGTGCTCATTAGCCGTCGAATTGAAAAGTCGCGCGAGCGAATGGAACGAAAATAAACCCGCGTCCCCTCGACGCCGAGATTGTTTCTAATTCCTTCGCGTCGATACGGAGGGGGTGAGCCACCCTTATCGGCCTGGCGTACGCGATAACGATCTAAGCAACAGTTTGCCGCGGGGGTGGAAAACTTCGGGACACGGGGAGGCATAAAAAAGGTCGAAACTTTCAGGCGAAAGTGCAATTCCCCGTCTTCCATTCCGACTCCCTTCGGCGCGGCGGTATCGATGACACTCTCGGTCACCGTGTGCGAAGATTTCGCGCGCTTTGTACTTTTTATTCCCCGCTCCAACTCGCTGTGTTTGCCCAAGGAGTGCAAGAAATCAAGTTCAGTCTTCTTAACACGATTTTCGTTGTCGAATATTCTGCCTGAAGTATCTTGGGGCTTGGATTGGATTTCAATTGTTTCTTTCTTGAGGGTACCGCTAAGGACGAAATATATTTATATACAATAGAACAATTTTGAAAATGTAAGTGCTTGTTTTACAGTTAGCACAAGCCTATAACAAGATAGTGTTACGATGTAAGAAAGAATGGACCTCTCAAAGTTAATATATTGGAATGCCCAATCCACTAAGTCAAACTGCTGACAACACCCTATAAGAACTGAGGAGTGGGGTGGAAGGAGTCCCCTTCCGTCACGTTTTTTACGAATCGTTTGAGCCGGATGTACAACGTCATGGAACCCCTACGAAAAACTTGATAGAGGATCCACGTTCAGGCTCGATTGCGCAATTCTCGGGTGCAGTCAAGCAAGTAGGCAACAAGATAGTTACATCGGCGCGACATAATATATTCTAAACGGTGCGAATACACTGGATTGTATTTCTATCTTTCTCAAGTATACATTTATGACTCCGATTATTCACCTTAATTTATATTATCACCGAATCTTTGAACTTGTTTTGGAGCACACAAAGTACGAATATCTCACTTTGTGTGCTCCAAAATAAAAATGTGCACAATAATAAAAATGTTCTATTTGCCAAAATTGCTTGTTTTATTTAAAATAACGATTTTAGCTGAACTATGCGTCTATTGTTTTGGGGTGGTATTTTTTTCGGAGATTCATCCAGCTATCTAGCTATTCTTTTATTTATCCCGTGTTCGGTTTGACGTTCTCCGTGACGACGTATTCCAAATCCGCCGGATTTCGGTTTCGTTCCGTCGTATTAAGAAGCTGCGCAACGAGACGGTCAGGCAGCGCGCCAAATGATCTTCCTTAACGCGCAAAACGCCGCGAGCACCGCCACCAGAAACGCGTATATCCGCGATCGCGCGGCGAGATCAGCGCAACGTGTCATCCCACGAGGGAACAAAGACCACTCGACCCGCCGTGCACCCCCCGCGCGCATTCAGAAGCGTCGAACTGCGCCAGCCACCCAACCCCCCTCGATCCCGAACAAAAAACGACGTTCCCGTTCGTGTATGAAAGCGGTCGAATTAAATCTATAATACCCGATTCATGCCCCCCCCCCCCAACCCCCCGCGTACGCGTCCCGTTTTCCGATGGGACCATAATGCACCGGCCCAGGCTGACGTTCGGTCAGCTCTCTGGGCACCTAATACTCCAGGCACCTATACCTATACCTTGTATGTACAGAGAATGATATTGCCGGAGTAAATTTCTTATCTAGATGAAAATTTCAAATGTTGAACGAAAGTTAAATAAATTTTTTTGGGACGGAGATCGTTTGAATTGTAAAATAGGAATGTCAAAGCTGAGTGATTTATGAGATCAGTAACAAAATTTTTGTCGATATTTTGTTCAGGTGTCAGTTGTGATGTCATTGTGGATTCTCAGGAAATAGATAGATCATGATTTATATTATCATTCCAAGTTCTTTTACATCCAGCGTATTTGAAAAATTCCAACCCTTCTAAAACGAACAATTATCGCGCGATTCCACAAACTCCACGTGCTCGTTCCAAAGGACCACCAGAACCCAACAAGTCTCCGATGGGCGATATACTTCTAAACGATAAACTACGGTCACGCTCGTCCCGATTCCACGTACGGCCAACCCATCGGCGTACTAGTGGCAAGAATCAATGGACCACGTTGCACACCGGATCCATTTGCGCTCCTATCGACGCGAGATACGCGCGTTTCGCGCAACGCACACCTGGACACACGGACCAGTGTGTCTGCTCACTTGTATACACAGTGTGTCATCTCACGAGCGAACAAAGTCCACTCGGCATTAGACACCCTCGGTTTCTGAAGCCTTGGGCGGCAGTCCCCTACCCTTTGCCGGCACCCTTACGTCTCCTCTCCCCCCCCCTCCCACCCTCCCCATGTCCGCGACCCTCCTGCCCCGCCTAGCCCGCCACCTTCATCGTCTTCACCCCCCTCGTGTCTTCTCGCTCCGGCAGTCGGTTTCATCCTTCGTCTACGCTTCTCGTTCCCTAGAGCAGCCCCTGCCTGCCAGTTCCTCGCTCTCCCCCTCCTCGACACTTTGCCCCGCCGCAGTCGGCCCTGCGGCTCCTCGCAGTCGACCCCTTCCCTCCCCCCGCCGAGCACCGCTTCGGTCGTCCGCGCGCTGCTCCCTCACAAAAAACCCGAGTCCAGTGTGGGCGCAACGGGGGACGGGTGGATTCTCCCTTTGCCTCCTTTTACCCTCTTCCCATCGTATATACGTTTCTCCTTTGCCTCTCCCCCCTGCTCCTCCCTCATCACCCCCCGTCGCCCCCCCTCGTCGACCACTTTCTGTCCCTCTTCTCGAGCCAAGTCTCATCGCGCTATGCCTTAGTCCGATCGTTCTCTCTTGGCTCTCTTTTCCGCTACCTCCGTCTCGCTCCCTTCTCAGCATCGTCTTCGTCGCCACTCAGGGAGCTCCGAGCGCTCAGTCTCAGTCCCAGTCCCCTCTCTGTCCGCCTGTCTTTCTTCCCCTTTGTGCGGTGCCTGTCTTCCCAGTCTCCGGGGTAGTGACTCTCAACCTACGTCAGTCGATGACTTTGACACGTTGTTCTTCGGAGAGTTTGGCTTCCTCTTGCGGGAGAATGTTCTGGGTTACGGTGACGAGGCGGCGCTATAGCGATGTCCAACGTTCGTCAGGTTCCGCCGCGCGGCGGGGTGTTCCCGTTGAAATGTTGGCCACGGCTGTTTTTGCGATTTCGTT